ATACTAAAACACAGCCAAGAGAAGTTACTTTGTACAGACCAAAGGTTAGTTTTATGCTGTTTGATACAGTAACAAGAGTGCACGTGAGCCACATCATTGTAACTTCTGTATTTTTAGCCATGCATGGGTGAAAGGTCAATATAACAAAAATATATATAAATGTATAATGTTGAGATTTAAGCTATTTAGTCTAAACATTTATCTTTTCGTGTTATAATTTGTGTTCATTCTAGAATGAAAGTGGTATAATTTGTATTTATTTCCTAATTTTTTATGGTGGTTGCGAGATCGGTCAAATCTACAGAACCTGTACAGAGATTAATTACTGAAAATAAGAAATAAAATATAAAGTTTTTTCTTATGAAATGTTTGATAACTATCTCGACATTATAAAGATTTTGCATGTGAAATTTCAAAATTTTTAATCTTAAAATGAATATTACTTTGCATGATAGATAGGCAACATGCAAAAAGAAAAAGAAAAGACATGAGAAAAATATTGCTTTATAAACCTTAAGACTTAATAAAAAAATTAGATATTTTGCATGTGAAAGCATTGTAATGTTTACTGATAATCTGCCCAATTTCAATAACATTCACATGCTAATTTAAATGTTATACTATAACAAGCACAAAATGGTTGTGAGGTCGGTCCCAGGGACCCAGCCTGTGCTGAAAGAGGTAATCGATTAACACACCATGCCCTATATAACCTGTACAAGCCAAAAAATAAAACAAAAATGGGTAACTGCTTACCTTTTTCAACCACTGTTATTCTAACCTAATATTAATTTTCCTAATTTCTTTTGCATTATTTTGGTTTTTTAAAGTAATTTTTTAATTATCCTTGATTTCGTATGATTAACCTCTTTTGAAGGTGGCTACTGGTATATTTGTGGAAAACAACATTTTCCCACAAGTTTTATGGTCATTTCTCACTTGTCAGATGAATCGCTAATATTGTACTGCATATATATATTGTTACAACAGTTACACAATAATAAACTACCAAACTTGTATAATTAAACACAAATATATTTAAGTATTCAAATTCAATAATTATTCATACGCACGTGAATTTATCTTATAAAATATTCCTTCTGCCTGATGCTATACATGAATGTCTCCCTTTTAATAGCCCACAGCACAGGTGTCAAATGGATACCTCTCAAGACTTCACTTGAAGTCTTCTTGTAGTTTTTGACACAGAAACTTATAGAATGCACTAGGGCTCTTCTGTAGGTGTTTAAATGTAGCAAGTCTATGAAAAAAATCTAGAGAATTCAATGACAAGGAACCCACTTTTAGACTAATAATGCTTGAAGATGGCTTGAATGGGTAATGAAGAAACTCTTTAATATAAGTTTAACATAACAGCAAAGGTGCAACGTTTCAACAAGGTTTTGTCATCATTAGGAAGTGGACAATATATTTACAAGGGGTGATAGGTTTTTAATAAAAATAATATTATTTGGGAGCAGAAAATTCTAAAAGAAATCAATAGTTAGGTTCTTTTGTTTACAGCAAAACATTTTGCAGTTGTATACAAATGAAAATATTAAATACTTTCTTCATTACCCTAAGTAAGTGTCAGAATGTGACAAAATATCGATTCTAAAATATTTTTAAGTTAAAATTCTTTAAGTATTTGGAGTTAACATATAAAATTGTGTTAAAAATTTGTGGCAAAAGTATATGAAAAACTAGAGGAAATCCTGTCTTCAAGTATAATTATTTAGGAATGATATATTTTGTTCATTCTAAACTGTTGTGTATGAAAATGTAACATAAATACAATGAAGTACTAAACCTGTAACAACCTGAAAATAATATGATTTATGGTGTTCCATGGGCTTCTACTTACAATTTCCACAAGACTACTGTACTGAAATAACTGAATTTTTGTTGATGAAAATAAACATGACATTTTATGACATTTAAATTTTATCACCTGAAAAACTAAAAAAAAACAAAAAAACGACTAGATTTGGATGTAGGTGTACATCATGTGTAAATTAATTGAATGCTTGTTTTATTATTGGAAATAATTATTTTTCAAAACACATGCAAAAATGTATACATGATATTTGACAAAATAATGATTTTCATTAAAATAACATAGAAATGTCCAAGCTTGTTTTATGAATTACTTATTGTCAAACATTTTTCAAACATGATTTATGCATGTTTCAAATTATGTTAAACATTGTTAGAGATCCATACTTTGAGAAACTGTAACTCATAATTGGATAATCCAGGATGTTGTGGGGTGGAGGGTCCAACTAGACCTCTGCTTGCATTATTGATAAGTTTTTTGTTACTTTTATTGTTGTTTTTTTTACTTATAACTGCAATCTATTTGTAACTTTTGAAACAAAATCATTTAGAAAGTTTACAAAATTATTATGAGTAGCTCAGTTAGGTTATAATAACAACAATTTCAAAGCTTATATCTTTATTTCTAGTAGTGTGATTGATATCAAAACAAACATTGCAGTCCATTTAATTATAGTTTCGATTAATCAATTGTTGGAGTAATTGGAACAGTTAATTTTCTTTAGTCGATTATTTTTGTGATATTAACTGATTAATCTGAATTTCAATTAATCTCTTAATTTATGGGACTCTAATTGATGTAGTCACTGTTCTTAGATAATTGATTAAATTTTACATCTCTAATCATTCCAATACTTTGACCTTTGTGGGCATCCTTTTCCTGTATCAAATACTGTTTCATACTCTTTTTTTTTTAGAGACTTCTATGTCTTTACCTTATTTCATATAGGTTGTTTCTTTCCTCATTTGCCCCTGGTTTGCAGTAGAGAAAAAATTGTGTAGACTGTTAATGGAAACGTCTGTGGGCAACTTGATCGTTCTCTAACATTTTGAACTTTCTTGACCAAATGGTATAAACAGAGCTCTGTCTACTATCTTCTCAACATTTTTTTTATAGGTATTGAAACATACATGCTTGTCTCTAGTCCCTCAGTTCTTGTTCTATAACTCTGTGTCCAGTGGTGATTTTTGATGTCTGTCCTTCTTTATAAGATACAAGATGCAACTGGCACCATGGACTTATTTTTAGATAGTGTGCAAGGTGTATATTTTATTGAGTTACTGAAAAACCCACAATAATTGGAACAAACTATCAGAAGACTTGAAATTAGAGAAACTAGTTTTGACGTTCTCTTCAGCCTCACATTGTCTTCTGCACAAATGTGTCAAAACAGTTCCTCTGATTTTGAGCTTTCTTATAATTTATTTACTTTACTGTGGTTTTTCACTAACTTTTTAACTGCTGTTTTTTTTATTGCTTGCCTAACTTGTTTCTGTTCTACTCCATTTTTTCATTGTGGGGTTGTGGTAGGAAGCTATGTTAGATTTAAGATTGCAACCAAATATTAAGAGTTTATATTAAAATGAATATAAACAAGTAAATTAATTTAATTTCATGACAAGTGGTTTTCATGGTGAGGGGACTGAAAATATTTCAAATATTTATAAAAGCCATATTGAATTTGAACATTTTGAATGTAAAAATGTATAATTTGTAATAGCTCTTCAGAGTCAAATTTTTATATGTTTGAAGGTTTTACTATGAATTGGTTGCAGCTATGTTAATATTAAGTATTGATAGAGCAAATAAACTCTCTC